GAGTTTAAAGTGGAACATCCAAACAGGGATGTTAGGTATGACAATTAGCAGTGAACCTTTGAGCAGACTTCTTAAATAGGTAATATAGAAAAATTACATGTGTAACTAATTGTACTCTCTCATATAATGATTTATAGAATCACATTACTAATAAGTCATTAATAAAAGTCAAAAGACCAAAAAGATCATCTTAACACCAAAAAAAAAAAAAAAAGACAACAGTTAAAGAAAACTAATTATAGAGTTAGCAATAATTCTGATCAAGAATTTTCATCTTGATTTTGGAATTTGGAATCTTTATTTCAAATCGCCTTATTACTATATTGTCTCGAAATAACATCCAAGAGTGAATTTAGGCTGAATTACAATTAATTCGGGCCAAATTTTAACCTACACCCCGGGCGTTATTTCGAGACAATCCAAGATATTTCGGAAACGAAAAACAATTTTGCTCGCAACATTACATCATGTGTTTCGTGTTACACACGTGATTAAGAAAACTTATTTAAATTTTAATATTAAATAACGATAACGATACTATTTATGAACAAATTAAAAAAATAAGAATAAGATATGTCTAGAATTGTACGAAATAATGCAATCTAACAACTCGAGTCATTCCGATGGTCTAGTCATCGTAAGTAGAGTTAATACTTCAATCCGGATGTAATTCAGAGTGAAGTATTAACTCTAATCATAAGTTATCGCTATGCACAAATAAATCGTTTACTTGGCTTTAAATTTAATGTGCTAACTTCTGGACCCCATAGACGCCAGAATAGTACGTCAAATTTAAATTCAGATTAATGGAGTATTTTTGCAAATAACTGCATAATATTTTCGATCATAGTTAAATTTTAGGAGAAATTACAATAAATCGGGTTTTAATAACATAAATTTTTCAAAAATGACCCGGCGAACCCAACTTTTAATTTTATTTTCAAAAAATTATATATATAAAAAACATGAAATTTTTTTATAGATTTTTTTTTAAAAACTCACTCGGATAGCAAGTATATTTGAAAAAATTTTTTAGAGTTTTGTAAATTTTGACCCGGTTGGGTTATGAAAACCGATTTATGGGCTAAGGGCCCGAAGAATGAATATAAGGGCTTAAAATGAAAAAATTATTTATAATGATCCAAAATTTGAAAAATATTATAATCAAGGGACCGAATTTATTGATTATAAGTTTTAATATTAAATGAAAATTTCTTTGACAGTTAAATGTATTGATTTTTTAATCAGTATTACATTTATTCTCTTAGCGTCTTGCATGTAAAAATAAAAATTATAACTATTTTTGCCAATTTGTAGAAGTAATTTAACTTTTTCTATTAAGTTTTACAGTTCCAAATATCTTTGATTAACGCATAGCAACCTCCAAAAAAGGTGAATCATATTTCGTAACTAGTTATGATATTGGATACTTGTTAATTTAGAACCGAGTAAACATTACAATACTGTACTTAACTAGTCGAACTGCATTTTGGTTAAAAGAAAGTTTTATTAAACGAAGAAAGCATAATATAAAATGCATAAACTAGTACATACATTACATAAAGTGTTGTTAGCAATAGCAATAGATGAATAGAACAATAGAACAATAAAATTTAGAATAGAATAAATTTTTCATCAATAGAACAAAAAATTGCTAACAAGATCATAATTAAATATTGATATAGCAATAAATAAATGGAGCAATAAAAATTAGAATAGAATATAATTTTTTATCAATAAAACAAGAAATTGATAACACATGACGTTCAAAAAAACCACTATCATACTGCAAAATTATTTTACCTTAATTGTAAAATTTTTCAAAATTTGGACCTTTATATATAATTATTTCCACTTTGGGCCCTTATTTGTAATTGTTTCATTTTTCGGCCCCTATATGTAATTTCCCCTAAATTTTATGATACAACACTTTAATACCATAAAACCATATACATAAAAATTTCGATCAAACCTTCTTTTCAATTCATCGTGTTTCTCAATTAATTGCATTCCTTTTCAATGCATCTAATTTTCAATTTATTCCTTTAATTTGTTTCTCTTTTTTAAATTTACCACACTCGTGAACAGGAGCCAAATCTAATCCAAAATCTCTTAAGAAATTTAAAAAAGAAATATTCACGGCATATCAAAAACTGATTATTGACCCTAGAAATTAAATAATTCAACACATGAAATTGGAAAGATAGGGGCGTTAATCCTCTACAGCATCAACTTGTAAGAGAGAAAGAAACTGATGATGTTAAAATAGTAAAGGGCAGGACATCAAAGTTATCTAGCATTCTGATGAGAAGAAAATTGTTTGTTATATTCTAGTTCAACGGTACTTTAAAGAAATTGATGGCAAAAAGGGCGGGATGTCCACGACTATTCTTGTCTTCTGGTGAGAAAAAGTTACTTGATATATACTGATAAAGGCTCTACAGCAGTTTAAAGAAATTGATGACATTAAGGTTCAACAGAGGTTCAAATATACTTGCCAACAAAACTTGAACAATCCCAAACGCAAAAAAAACCAATTGTCATTTGTAAAAATAATCTTAAATTTTACGAATATATTATATACTATATATAACTGAAAATATTTACTACTTGTTTAATAAAGATTATAATAATTAGGGATTTGGTGACAATCATGTAGGCAAAAACAAATGAGCCGGTTTCAAAGAAATTTAAGAATATATTGATATATTGAGAAGGAGTGGTTATTATGCGAGAGTAAAATCCAAAAAACCTAATTAATATAAATTTGCTGAATACGAATCTCTTGTAGTATGGGTGACACCTACTTTAAATCAATTGATTAATGATGCATTTTATTAGTGGTGTCACTTATACTGCAAGAGATCCCCTCAAGTATTACTAGAAAGACCAGGAACGCCAATGCAAAGTGATTATAACAAGTCAGTAGTATGTTTATTTTGATTCAAAAGTTTAATTTGGACTATAACGCTAATTCCTTTGCCTCGGATTTCCTGATCGTGTATATTAATCGATCTAATTTTATCAACTTAGGTTACAAATTATTCCTATATCGATACTGTATACAATGACTAGGTCTATTTTTAAAGATTGGTTGACATACAGTAGTCGCCTAAGTTGATTTCATTGATTAACACAATCACTATCACTATATGCTAGGGAGAATGCCTAGTCGGTTTTAACATCCTATAAATAAGAAAATTTGAGAAATTGGTCAATAATGTTGGTCCCGCTGACGACAAGTGCATTTTTTATAAATTTACTTTTATACTGTAAAAACTTACTTCTTGTTCATTATCAGCAAATATTTATAACCATCAGGTTTACAGAATTTTTCTTATTATGTTTGTGCATTATGACTCATACGTGTTCACCCGAATGATTGTGGTTCAAGCCAATTTATCAAAACATTACCCAATAATGCCAGCATTTTCGGACCTCGGCAGTTCTTGTTCCTAGTGTATTTCATCATTACCGCATAGTTGTTCATATAGTTTTATTTGAGTGTAAAGTGTACATATCATATTATGGCCTACGTATTCGGAAAATGTTAGGTAGAATTATGATCTTGTGCTTTATTTCTATTACCGGAAAAATAAGTGACGGAAAAAAGAAACTGAAGAGGGATTATATATTATTGGTATCGGCTAAGTTGTTTGTTATAGAAAGGAGAGATAAGCTATTAGCTATTCTGTGGTGTTACTAAGAACAAATAACTCATTATTGGTAGGAAATAATTTGAACTGCATTAGTCGCATCCTGTGCGGTCGCTTAACCGTTTTTTTTTATCCAAGAAGTTTTTACAAATTCTATAAATGGATAAGTCTAGATTTAGAATACATATGTAAGCAGATGCGAAACGTTTCAGGGACAAGTATAGCGTAAGTCACTTAAAGCACTATGTACTGTACATCCCAGCACTGATACACAATGGTACGCTACCAGAAAACGTGCATATGGTACAGAAGTATGGTAATGATGCAAATTAGGGCACGCGGTAATTAGGATATGTAAGAAGAAGCGAGTGAATTATCTATGAACTGCATCCATACAAACGCAAAAAGAACCATGGTAGTATTCATCCCTAATCCCTAAAAAAAGAAGCTAGTTCTATGTGCATTGTCAATTATGCTTACATATTCTTCCAAAGCTTGTACTACTCTTTATAAATCGCGTGGAAAAGTGCAAGTAAACAGTACTAAACTTTGACACAGCCCCTGTGAAATGACATTAACTCATTAAAACGTTTGATCTTCATAACATTAAATCATTTTCTTTGTTATATTTAGGATCGATTGCTTTTTTATTTTTTTTCTGATTCTATTTTTAAAAAAGAAATCCCAAATGCGATTTATTTGTTAAGCTAATAATATCTTAATTACGTATGTGCGTACATATGTATTTATCTGTTCTTACAAATGTGTATGATCTTACGTAACGACAAAAGTTTATATTGATAATATTTATATTTATATCCTTTGTGCGCGAACTTAACATTAAAGTTAAAACGTAGTATTACATCATTCCTGATCTCATATTAACGCATATGACCTCATTCGAAACAAAGCATGGAATATTAAAGTGCTTGTCTTGCTACAGTATGTAATATTGTTTCATGTAAAAATTACTACGGTTCACATAACTTTAAAAACTTTCTCAAAGTATTGTCTTACGTTGTGTCAGACAAATCATTAAAAAAATTCTTTGTTCTGTTAGCAATATAATGAAGTAAACAAACACGACCAATGTAATACAATACGAATATCATCGCGTTCTTAATTTCTTTGTCTGAGATTTAAAAAATTTCAATTTTTAAGTTATCAGCAGTTTCATGTAGTTTCAAGCAGTTTCAATGAACACGTACAAGAAATTCAAAATGCTCCATAAAAGGCGCGTTTTTTTCTTTTCGTTCAGAAAATTCACATCATCTGTTAACATTTGGATCTGATTAAAAGGTATTGACACGTCATTAAGATAAAATCAAGTTCTCAATCGTTAAAATGGCACAGAATAATAACTTGGCACCTGTTGACGTATTACAAATTTTGATCGTACCAGTCTGTAATCAAATGAATGTTAATGAGGAAGATATTAGAAGAATTGCCGTTCTTGCTCTAAGAAATCTTACTCCTCTGGGACACGACTTTCTTATTAGTTTAACCGACAGGATAAATTCTCATAGTGAAGAATTGCAACGATTAAGCAATGATAGTTTGGAGAATGCAATTTATTACGGATGTGAATTCACCAACTTAACTAAATGGGTAAATTCTTTCGTCATTGACGAATTGCAAAGACAGCCAAATCCGGAAAACGAAATTTTTCTAGGATATACCTTTTTCCCCTAATGTTTGATTGGGACGGAATAATAATGGTTTTTTATCAATTTTACCAATATAGAACTATGAAAACCTTGTTTAGAGTCATCATATTTAGATAAAAAGAAGTTAACAATTTATATATAAGTGCGATAATAGTATGACATTAATACGCAGGTTTGACTTTAAAAAATTTTAAAACAATTATGATTTTAGATATTTAATAAGCCTATAGTATATTTTGCGTTTTGTTCAAAAAAAAAACTCAGTATCTTATTAAAGTTCGATCATCCTTTATAGGAATAAACATAGTAAAGATTATTCGTCCTCTCCACACTCTCTGGTATGATATCATCTTAAACCTTTGCAATTTAATGTATAAATCGAACATGATCTACATTAGCAAGTAAATTTTTTCATAGAACTATCGCTATGTAGAATTTTGAAATTTTATTTAATTTATACAATATTTACATATAAATAAGTATATATTTTTATATAAAATTGCCAAAAAAAAATTATATTTAAATATTAAAGCTAAGATTGTTTTCTCTAGTTCTTGCCTTTTGACTATCTCTATTTTCAAATTTCTACTGCTTTTAGTGATCCGAACCAAGCAAATAATCATCAACTATAATTGTTGGTAGAATTACTGAATTACGGCATTACGGCATTTTACCACGTGGTAGAATTAATTACGGCATAACATCTAATTGCCGTAAAACTTTTGTGCCGTAATGCGCAATGTCGTAATGCCGTAATATCCTAATTAGAGATTAAATTTGTATAAAATTTAAATGTGCTGGATTATAATTCACGTCATTTCTAATTAACAAAGTCATTGGCTGCAATAGATAGTCATGTAGTTCAAGTATTTTAATTAATATATTTAATCTGTTATTTCTTAACAAAGGTTTTTTAGTAAACATATATCTATATATTAAAATTCTTCGTATTATTAAACTAATTGGACTGTCCTATATAAACAATTTTTTAAATTGTGTTACTTATTTGCTACGAAGATATTGGGATATCCGTGTAACATCGACCATGAGAATCTGACCACGTTGTCACATGGCTTCGCAGACCGAAAGGCAGGGTGACGTATTATGTTATTCATATATGTATAGCATTTACTTAGACATTCATAATTAGTTTTTTATTTAAATAAATGCTTTAAGTAAATACTGATTTTAAATAGCTATATATATATTGAATGACATAATACGTCATATCTGCCCTTCAATCTGAGACTCAACGTTATCCTATGACTTCACGGACATTTATCTGGGAAAGTCTACGGACACATACAAGTCACGTGAAATCACACGTATCTAAACTAAGATCGGTGATTGGTACGTGTCCATGAACTTTCCGCATTTATCTTCACAAAGTCATGTGACAACCTTGAAACAAAGATTGAATGGGGTAAGTGGTATCAAATTATTAATTTTTCTTAATGCTATATATTACCTGCATTAATCTAATGATTTTATAGATTTTTTTATTTAATAACTTTAAACCGTCGGCGAAGTGACAAGTTGTACCTAGTATGATGCTTAAATTTTTATCTAAATTTTTTAACTGTTTATCTCTTGAAGTATACATAATACGATTATCTGGATTAATAGATTTAATAGAATATGCTAACAATTTACTTATAACAATATTAAATATAAATCAATCCAGTTCAAACCTAAATCAGTTCAATCTTGATAGTTTACTATTAAAGATAGTATAGAAAATATTACTACATAGAATAGTTTTTGATATATAAATTTTCAATCTATCAAAATCTGCTAAAAATAAAAATACTATATTTGCTTTTATTCTAGTTTCTAACATAATTGCATTATAAAGCTACCTTATTTTTAAAAATCTTTACTCAGCTTAATTTTAACTAAGAAAATAAATGACTATGTTATTAAACATTATATAAATATTAAAAATTTTAAACTTACTATGATAGTTTGTATTTAACTATCTTAAAGTAATTTGTTTATAACAATTATTTAAATTTTTATATTACTTATTGCTAAGTTATGCAACATTATTTAGTTTTTTTTTTACTTAGGCAACACATAAGCATGATAATAAATATTTTATTTTTAGCCATCTGTTTTATATACAACATAGCTGTAACATGCAATTTGTATATTACTTACAAATATCAAATATATAATGACAAAAAAATATCTAATTAGTAAAATAATTTCAGCCTTAGAAAGATTTTAAAGTTTACATTAAAATATTTTGATACTATAACATTATAGCATTATAACATTATAACATTATAGCATTATGACATTATGACTTGTACCATTACAGAATTGTAACATTATAGCATTGCAGCATTGTGGTATTATAGTACAAAAGAATTATAATAAAAAATATAGCATATACTACTGTTATATTAATTTACAAAACTAATTCTATTAACAACTCTATTATCAACTAATTAAATAACTTAGACTTAATTAGATACAATGAATCAGTTATAACTAAAAGTGTTTTAGTTAGCTCAATTAATTTGGTCAACTGAGTTAGCAAGATCAATTAACTTAGCTAGCTCAACTGAGTTAACAAGTTATTTGATCAATTGACAACTATTTAGTATATTAATTTTTTGTTTGTTTTGCAAATTATTATAATAATTATATCAATATTATTAAATTTTCTTTTTTTTACAATTAGGTTAATTAATTATAACAGGTTAATCAATTATATTAAGCTAACTAATATTACAAAGTTAATTGATTATACTAGATTAACTGATTGTATTAGATTAGTTATTAATTATTTTAGATTAATTAATTATTTTGAATTAGTTGATTTAGTATTTTATTCAATTAATTAACTTAAATTGTTTTGGTTCAGTTTGGTTATTTAATTAAAGTTTAATTGATTTAGATCATTAATTATTTTTAGTTTTTTAAGATTTTTTATTTTTTTATTTTTTTATTTATTTTTTCTATAAGTTAATTTATTACTATTTTGATTTTATTATTATTTTTTCTATATATGTTTCTAAAATAGTTTTAATTTTGTTATTTATTTTAATCTACTATTAACAGTTTGTTTTATATTTATTACTTTTTATTGAATTTTTTTTTTAACTATTTCTTTTAGTTATTTGTTTTTACTTAGTCTATAAGTTCCTTATTTTTTTTTCTATAAGTTAATTTATTACTATTTTAATTTTATTATTTTTTTTCTATATATGTTTCTAAAATAGTTTTAATTTTTTTATTTATTTTAATCTACTATTAACAGTTTGTTTTATATTTATTACTTTTTATTAAATTTTTTTTTAACTATTTCTTTTAGTTATTTGCTTTTACTTAGTCTATAAGTTCCTTATTTTTTTTCTATTATTTAAATTTTATTTACTTAACTTTTATTGTTTACCTATTTGTTTTAAAATAGTTTTTGATCTTTTTATTTTTTTATATTTTGAGAATTTTTATTTTTATTTTTTGAAATTATTTTTATTTCTTATTTTTGTTTAAATAGACTTAATAATTTTTGAGTTGTTACTATATAATTAAATTTTTTTTTATATTAAATAATTGATTTAGATAACATCTTATTTTATTTATTTTATTATTATTTTTTTTTATATTTTTATTTTTAAAAATTTATATATTTTTATACTATACTTAAATATTATTATAGATAGTTTTCTGTTTTAATGCGTATTTTTTTATTTTTTATTTTTATTATTATTAAACAGATTAGATTATTTTTTTAATATACTTTGTTTTTTAACTTTCTGTTTACTTTTTATATCTTTTTTATTAAATTTGTCTTTTAACTATTAGTATTGGTTATAGTTATTTTTTTTTTTTTTAAATATTAAGGTAAGTACTTGCGACCCAGGATTTTATTGATAGTACATTCAGCTAATGGTTGC